TGGTGGTGTTGGGTTGATGGTTGGCCTTGATGATCTTAAAGGTCTTTTCCAACTTTAATGATTCTGTGATTTTGTGAACTCCCCCTAGTTTATATACTGAGCATGATGGTATATGGTATGGAATATCCCTTTGGCCAGTCTGGGTCAGCTGTCCTGGCTGTGTCCCCTCCCAGCTTCTTGTGCACCTCTCCGCTAGCGGAGCATGGGGAGCTGAAATGTCCTTGACTGAGTGTAAGCACTGCTCAGCAACAACTAAAACTTCAGTGTGTTATCACATTATCATCATGCTAAGTCCAAAACACAGCACTACACCAGCTACCAGGAGAAAAATTAACTCTATCCCAGCTGAAACCAGGACACATATGTACAACAAAACCATGCTGAATTTCACTAACTTTGTCTGACATCAAATCTTATTATATATTAGTCTGTGTGATTAATTTTATTAGTCGGTCCATCTTCAGTTCCTTCTTACTGAGCAGGTGCTTCAAGACTGTGACCATGCCTGCAGAATTCTCCAAATACATCAGTCTCAGCGTGTGGCATGTTTTCCAGTCTGCTAAGGTCTTTTAAAAACTTGACAGTTTTCAACATTTGGTTTCAAGGCTGTACATCACAGCTGGTCACAATAGTAGCTCTTGCACATCTCCAACATGGATGTAAAGTAAGCTCTTTTTTTCTTGTTCAGCATCATCTCAGACTGTGTATGTCCTTTTGGTTGCAATCACACAGCCGGCTTATAGCAATATCTGGAGACCTATCAGCCATTTCCTTATGTGCCACATTAATTTGTATCGCTCTGGTTTCCTAATCAAAATAGGCAGTACAAAGTCACATGCTTTAAAAGACATTACCCAAACAACTATTACCTTTATCAACCAAAGTTGTGGTTTCATTGAAAAAAATAGCATGCTAGTTTGAAAAGATTCTTTTACATCAGCCCATGTTGCCTAACATTAATTATATTCCCTTCCTGCATTCTTTATTATTCAGGCTGTATCAGCTCCCCAGTATTTTTGCTGAGCTCTGCATTAGGTCACTAGCACTGTAATTACCTACTTACTCTTTTAATTTTTGTCATGGCATTAGCAGTCTTCTTCAAGTTTCAAGACTAAATAAAAAGTGACATTAAGAATTTGGAGAACGTCTCAGCCAGCTCTTCTAAAACTCTTGAAGACAAATCATGCGCATACATATTTAAAAAGTCTATGTTTAGGAACAGCTGCTTGATATACTGTTCCTGGTGAAATTTCTCCATAATGATGTTCAGTTCCCTCAGACTGGAACTGAAGAAAAAATTATCATATATTTCTGCCTGTTCTGCATTATTTTTATACATATACTATTTCCATTTAGTAATGCATGCAAAGGATTCCTTTTTTCCTTAAGTACTTAAAAATAATCTCCTCCCAAATCGTGATTAACACTGAGTGTGACTACGCAACCAGAGTTGCTTGTTCCAAATCAATATAAACATAGGTATCTAAATTAAGAAGCCCACTTTATCCTGGAAGGCAGGCTTTTCCACAAACTGGCTCTAAGCAGGAGACCCTTGACTACAGAGAATCTAATTGTCCTAACAGTTACACCGTCCTGGCTTAAGCACCTAAATTCAGCCCCCGAGCTGGGCAGTCCCTGGGACAGGAGATGCTATGAGGAGTCCCCCTGGTTCTACCCCCACAGGGACAGCCAGCTTCTCCTCCATGTGCTCCCAGGGATCCACCGAACTGAGTTTAGCTCTGGAAACAAAGTCACTTCACTTGCCACTGGGATGAAGACCCTGCCAGCTGTTGAGCAGCCCCCAGGGCCACCATCGCACTGCCCTGCAAATGCCACGCTCTTTAAAGGGCACAAGTGGTTGGGACGCGGGTTGTACTTATTGTGCAAAAGACGAAGCTTCCTCTTTCTTTGTATTGCTATTTTGATCCTTTTATTTTTAACGCAAGTATTTTCCGTTCTGATTCCTTCCAGATGGGAAGAAATGTCTTCCCCAGCAGCGCTGCGTACAGCAGCCGGGCACCACAGGCTGCTGCCATTCGGGGAAACGCCTTCACTGCCCCATTCACCTGCTCTCGTCTTGGGAATTTCTTGCCGTGACATGGCATTATGGGGAAAAGCATAGAGGAATAAAATGCTTAACCATGTGTCTCCAAGCCCCTATGTTATTGTATTTAAGTTTTTGTCTCTTCTTCCCTGACCTGAGCAAAGTTATTCCCAGTAAGAGGGAACAGATTCCCTGCTGTTAATCCCTTATGCAAGAGTTTCCTAACGGCTCCATCTGGTAGCTTTGCTGCGAGCTCCCAGCACAGCCCTTTCTCCCAGGCTCGCCTGAAGAGCTGCTCTCCTCCCTGGGCTCACTCAGCAGGCACTTGAGATTTGAATGGACAAGTGCTGCCAATCCCACATGTTTCAAACCCAGGAGATGAGACTCCAAATACCATGAGATTGGCAAAGAGTCCATCAGATTAAGAACAAAAAGAAGAGACACATAACAATGGCGATCTACTTATTTTGGAGCCTTTCACAGATGTGGCTATAGTGATTTCCATTTTCTCTCTCGGGCTAGAAATGGATTGGTTTTAAGTAAAAGCCAAGAATCTCAGTTAATCATTTGATTCCAGGAATGAGCCTTTAAACAACACACCAAATCACAGGATTCCCCAGCAAACTGCCAGGGTTGCCAAAGCATTTCTTTTATGAGCGCAGGAGGTATCAAGCCAGCAAGCAGGGCTCTTTCAGCCCTGTGGCATTGCCCGCACCATGGGTTATTACGCTGGCATCAGTGATGCTTGTGCAAATTTACTAAAGATGATAAACACTCAGGCCAGTAGAAAAGCAGCAATTTCCAGACTGCAGCAAGCTTATCGCTGCCAGAACTTGTAACCATAACAAAGGAGAGCATGAGCAGCCCAGCTCAGCCCTTCCACGTGTAGCCGGGCTGTTGGTGCCATGACCAGCAGGTTGGGTAGAGGGCTGGCATGTGAGCAAGCTGCACTTGGGAAATGAAATGAAATGAATTTTTCTATTAAAAACATAATAGAAGCTGAAAAAGTTTTGCTGCAAAGAACAGGTAGTAAGGAAAGTAAGGGTTCAGATCTCTGGCTGAATCTGCAGAGCCAACAGTTGTGGAAAAATAAACTAACCAAAACATCTTTTTTTTCCTCAGAGTGTTGTAGACAAAGATATACCGGAAAGCCAAAGATCCTTTTTATACTTAAATGCACAGACACTTTGCAGTATAAAGCATATCCTTTGATCCCATCTGCTGCATTTCCACCACCTCCTCTTTCTCCCCAGTGCCTTTCCCTTACTCTGCCTTTGCTCTCAGAGCAGCCTCCAGCTCACCAGCAAGGTGAACAGCATGAAAAGCCAAACAGGCAGTCTTGTGCTCCAAAACTAGAATCTCCAAGGCCGTGAGAGCACAAGAGCAGAAACAAATGTGAAGTGCTGAAGTGCTGGGCATTTTCTGCCCCAGGCGGTTCTGGCTGAAAGCAGGGGCTTTCACCCTCCTGTTTGACTAAGCTGTTGAAATGCTGCTTGTAGAGCAGCACCGAGGCCATGACTGTGGCATATTAAACAGAACAAAAGTTGAAATGGTCACGCTGGTTGCCCATGATGGTGTCATAGGAGATACTTAAAAATCAGTATGAGGGTCCTCACGCTGTACATGAGCTGCCATTCAAACAGGTAGATGGTTCTCACATCAGTCTGAAGCAAGATGTACCATGTACATGAGAGAAGTACCTGGATAGAGTGAAGTTGCATAGTCAAGAGGACACCTTTGTATCAAGTACTTGGGCGCGCTGCCTCAGGCAGTGCTAATGGGAGGGCCATCTCCTTCCCTGTGCTGGAGACATGCAGCATCAGCCTGGATGAACAACCAGCTGGTTCTCCAGACCATGTATCAGCACTTCTCAGTGGTAGTGGGCAGTAAGTAAATAGCACAGGAGAGCAGCAGTCATCCCTCACTGCCTCTGCGGCGATATAAGTGGATACCCAGAAAATCAGACCCTTGTTATCAGTGCATGCATGGCTTTTCTGATGGTCTTCCAGCTGGAAGGAAGGAAGAAAACAGTTTAATTTAGTGCATGGGCACTTACCAGGATATTGGTTTGCTTGTTGCATGTTGACCACGTTCCTTCTTTGGTCTTTATAATCTGGTGGTGGTCGTGTCAAATGTCTGTTCAGCTGATCTTGTGGAGTGATTTTCTCCTAGAGGATTAGAGTAGAAATATATTAATTTGCTTTTCTTTATGCTTTCCTGGCTCCATGTTTTGCCCGCCTCTTTCTTTTCTCAATACGTACAAAGCTGAAGTGTTCCTTCTTTTCACCCTGTCTGGTCCACAAGAGAGACAGCTGTGAGCCTGTGCCATCCCTCACTGTAATCTGTATGGAAACCTTTCTGCCAGTTGTATTGTGTTTGAGTCTGGTCTAACTTTCCTTAAAATCACTGGGAGTTGCTCAGCCTCTGTGAACATTTGACCACATCTGCACTGTAGTACAAAGTGTCCTCCGTCGTCTGCATCGTCTTGCTCACCATACTCATCAGACAGCAGGGTCTGATGGTTCCTCATGGCTCCCTGTCTGTCTGTGCAGCTGGGTTTGCTTCCAGAGAAAGCACAGAGACAGAGCAAACACCTGGGCCTAACTCAAACACACAACTGGGATGCAGCTGGGGAGCAATGAGTGTCCAGACCGGCAGCTGCCCCTTGGCTGCATCAATGGTCATCGGCCCATTTTGCCCACGCAGCCCCCTCAGCGTGCACAGCTGGCAAAGAGCATTTCAGCTTGCCATTAAACATGCTTTGTCCCAGCTACCTCCAGCCCTCGCTCTCTCCTTCCTCCTGCACTGGAGGAGCTCCCACAAAAATCATCAAAACACATTGCTTTGTCCTCCCACGTGCCTCTCCTCACCAGGGGTGCCAGCAGCAGACATGGCCAGGGTTTAGCAAGGACGGTGCGGGGCTGGATGGTTTTCATGGCACTCACCATTGCCCTGTGCTTCCCCACACATACGCGTGGTGCTGTCCTTCCTCTTACACTGGGAGCGCAAGCACTGGGGGAAGGACAGCGGGCAAAGATTGCAGAAAAAGCTGATCAGTAGGGGACATTTTTTATTTTGTGCCCACAGGGACACGTCTCTGGTGAAAGGAAGACAGACATCCAAATCCTTGGACTGAAACCTGACTAATTGCCCTTCGTTCATAAAGACCTGGGAAGTGCGGGCACCAGAGCCGCTGCCAAACCTCTCAGCAGCAGCAGTGTGCCATGAGGTCTCCAAGAGTGTTGCTGCCTGCCCATAAGCAACAACTCCTGGGGATATATGGCCCCACAGTAGGAAAACACGGCTTTGACCACCTCAGCCGCTGGCAAGTCATTGCCGGTGCACATGTGCCTCCCGGAGTAGTGCTTACTGGGCAGCTGCTGCACAAGCTTCATCCCTTCTCTGCAACGCGCCTGGGTTTCATGCTTGGCTGCTAGAATGGCTCCTCAGTTTGAAAAAGAGTCAGGCCCTGGCTGGTGTTGGATATCCATCAGAGTAATTTGGGGATCTTCTGCCTGACAACAGCATGCAAACAGACCTTCTTGTGAAAAATCTGCTTTTTCTTCTGCCAGGAGGACTTTAAAACACTGGGAGAAGAGTCTTTCTTGCAATATTTAGGCATTTTGTAATGGGGCATTTCCGTAATGCGCTCTGGGAATGAGGAGTCTGATTAAGATTTATAAGGCTTGTCTTAACATACTGCTTGACCTGAACCCTTGTGAAGAAGACAGACAAGTTATCTCCCAGGAAATCCTCGCAATACATGTAAAAACTGCAGGCAGGCTTTGTGTGTCTTTCTATGAACATGATACAAAAGCAAATGCAAGCTGATCAAAAAAATGCATTCTGTAGAGTGATTTTTTTTTTTTTCTTCACTGTGAGGGTGGTGAGGCAGTGGAACAGGTTGCCCGAAGAAATTGTGGATGCCCAACACTGGAAGTGTTCAAGGCCAGGTTGGATGGGGTTTTGAGCAACCTGGTCTAGCAGAAGGTGTCTCTGCCCATAGCAGGGGGCTTGGAAGTAGATGGTCTTTAAGGTCCCTTCCAACCCAAACCATTCTATGATTCTATGATCTATGATTTTTAAGAGCTACATGAGCCATTAACCTTCTGTTCTGCTAAAACTTCTGACGGAAAATGGCCATGTTTTGAGCTGACTTGAAACTTCATTTTTCTTCTGTGTAAATTAAAAAGTCAACAAATATTTCCCTCACAGGACAAAGGAAATCCTTAATTTCAAACTCAAGCTTTCTAATTGTGTTTTTTGGAATAGAAATTAATTTGTAAATAAAAAGGTATCCTCTACAAAAAACTGAATACTTTTTTTTTTTAAAACGTCCCCACAAAACCATGTATGTTTTTCCACTTCTGTGTTGTTCTTCAATTACTGAATAGCATTCACTAAATATGTCAGTATTTCTGACTCTATGTCTTTATAGAGAAGAGAAAAGAAAGTTTTGGATTCAAAATGTCAGGCCAGCATTTACAGGTCTGCCCTGTAGGCCGAGAGATGCAGGTTGAAGTAAATGAGCCACAGGCTCGGGGTCTGCTGTCACTGCAGCCTGGGGGAAGCAAAGCAGGTGGTGGTGTCACCTCCATCCTTCCCCAGAACCCTCCCCGCAGCCCTTCCCTAGTTGCCGCAGGGCACCTGTGTTGCTTTCTGCCTGCCCCAAGGATGTGCCAAGCTCAGCTCCTCTTCCAGGGCTTCTCTGTTCTCCATGCTTTGGCAAGCAGGACTACCAAGGAACGGTGAATACGGGGATGCAGAGGGCACATGCTACTGCTCCGGGCAGCTGGAACTCTCTCCTGTTGCACTGGCCATGGGTGATGGGCCATGAAGCACCTTCAGCTGAGTCAGTTTGTGCAGTATCAATGACAATGCCAGTTTAGTGGAACAAAACCAGTGAGTTCTAGTGCTTATGACTCCCAACAAGACCACAAATATTGCCCACGCCTCATAAAATGACCAGTAACTCCCAACTGCTCTCTCAGATACCAAGAGAGAGAGAAGAACTGGCTACAAATATCTGGTAATGAATAAAGGAAACCAGAGAAAGGAGTAGTCATGTATGATCCCAGCCAAGCACACAAACTTGTGTTGAACGCTAAAATTGATGTACCTGATCCTTGTTTACACACAGGCACTTTGTACCATGCTGCCTGGGTTGCAGACCCTGGAAGTCAACTTTCCTCGGTGGTCAAAGTAGTGTAGCCATGCACCTTAGCTTATCTTGCAAAGAAAACCACTGACAGTATTCATATGCTTCAAGTTAAGCATATGCTTAGACTGTTCTCATAAAAAAACACAGTAGCTTGGGTACTTGAGTTGTTTCATATAAACTGAGGAAGGTTTCAAAAGGGCTTAGCGAAGTGCTGAAAAATATGAGGCACACTCTAGAAGGTCTAGGCATTGCCAAAATGACCTCAAAGTTTTGGGGGATTTCTTCCCCCTGTCTTAGCTTTCTTTTCTATTGTTTCTATGATAATCTTTTCCATGTAAAATAAAGAATTAGAAAACTTACAGCTTCTGCCAACATCTGCTGCTGTAGAAGGAGTTGTTTTTGCTCCATCATTTGCCGCTGCAGAGCCTGTTTCTTTTCCATCAGTTGCTGATTCAACATTGATTGCTGGGATGAGTTCATGTAACCACTTCCAGTGTTTGGATTTGAGCAAGAACTGGAGTTTGGAGTGGGGCCAGCTCCCTGGCCTACCACAGAGTGTTGATCCTGAAACAGAATAAATGGCTCTTGAAGGATGAAAATAATAACAAGCATCAAGAAAAGGAAATAATCTTTTCTATGCAATTAACTCAAGTACAGGACACAGCCCGCAGACTCTCAGGACAAGTGACCGATACAAAAGCTTTGACAAAATAAGGGGATTGAGTAACTTCATCGTTTATGGAAGACTCTGAAAACATGCCAGGTGGTTCCAGTGGAAAACCTCAGTCCTGTACCAGCAGCTTGGGAAACGTTAACAGAAGTAACAGAGCTGTTCTGGGGATCTTTCAGGAAACTTGCATCAGGCCGTATGGCAGTTTATTTGACCACAAGGGAACAAACTCAGCGTCTGCTGGTTCCTACCATCTGGCGAGCAGCAGTGAGAAGTTACAGACTCATTGGTAGAAGTAGCATCTATTCTTAGAAAATACAGAAGCGGTACGTTGCTACTTTGCAGCGGGGTGAACGGTGCCACTTTCATTCATCCCATCACCTCCCTGACAAGAGCAACCTCTCAGAGATTGCTAACTGACTCCCATTAGCAGCAGGATTAAATAGGCTTAGAGTTCATCAACTTCCTTGGTAAACCAAATGTGTAGCTGGGCAAGACTTTGAAGAGCACTTTAGGGTCTCCCTGGTCTTTGTGATGGATCTAGATCTGCTTCCTCTTCCCTGTGTGCAGCTTCATGAGGAAGGAGTGGCAAAAAGTATCTCAGAAGGCAATGGGGAAGGTACCTGGGGATTCAAACCATGCACGTACAGGATGAGAATGAACATGGGATGACAATATGCTGCTCGTTTTGTTTTCCCATGGTTTCCCTTGGCAGCAATCTCTTTTCTGTCTACTTGCTCCACCAGTCTCTGGTACTTGGGCCTTTACCAAATGTAGGAGATAGCTTTCTCGGTCGACACACAAAAATACTCAGCCTGTGTTGGATCACTTGACAGTCAGGTATTCCTTAGCTGCCCAGCTACAAAGAAAATAGGATACACTGGTGAGGTCACACCAGTCATGAGAACCATCAGTTCTCTGACTCCACTTTGTTGCAATTCACCATACGAACCCAACCACATAATTCTGTATAACCTAATATGCGGCTGCATTTTTGCCCTGCAGCACAGGAATCCACAGCTGGAGTCTGACGCTCCCTGTTATCCAGCGGTTCTCTCAATACTGAGGTGTAGTATCAGGGTCTGGTTTACTACCTAGGTAAAGTCCTGCTCCATGGTCATCACCTTCCAAGGCATCCAGGGAAATACGGACTGACCACCAGTGAAACAAGGGCCAGCCAGGTGTAGCCTACCCATGCCCTGAAGACCATGGACCACTGATGCTCATCGCTTTGCAAACTCCAGCAATGTTCATTTCTGTGCCTTAGCTTTGGCAATGCCACCCCCCTCCTTGAATAACACCCCCCTCCCCCAGGCTAATCCAACTTATCTTTCTACCATCTGGCACGGAAGAAACACAGTGATTGTTATGGGTATTTCTATTTTAAAATAATCCTGTGGTTTTTAGATGGGGCCACATGAGTGCATAGCTAGCTAGATAAAGTATTTGACGTCTCTTACTGAAATAAAAAACATGACTTTCTTCTGGAGCCACCTGCAGCCCCCAAGGCAGTGTTACAAACCCACCCTTCAAAATTTATTGGGCTCTTACACAATTATATCCTGCACACTTTCTTTCAGTTCCAGAAGGAATCCAGGATTGCTCGGCACTGCCACATTTTTCAGCCCTTATGTTAGCTGTGAGATAGAAAATACCTCCTCTCAACAGACCCGCTTGCCAAGTTATTGCGCAAACTTTTTTGTCTTTCTTAAAATATTTTGAAAAGAAAAATATGTTACAATAAATTGGCTTTGACTTCTATATTCAAATGACAACTCTAGCTTGAACCCAGCCACATGTTACATCCATTAATAGAATTCATCTGTCGTGTTTTTGCACAGATAATGCAAGCTCCCCAAAATGTGCTTTCATAGTCCTGCATTAAAAAAAAAACAACAAAGCCCAACCTTTTCTCCCTCTCATCCACTGCCAGCCCATATAAGCTGTGGGGAGGGATTGTGTTTTCAGATAAACTGTGTAGTGTCCATTCATGATACCTATCAAAGAAAGCTCTTCTGTAATAGCAATTGGCACAAAACACCAGCTGCTTGGCAAACAGGCCCTGAGAAAACAGCATAAATCATCAACTTGGAGCCAGTTTGGGGTTTTTTTGTATTTTGTCCTTTCTCTGCTGTTCATGAAATGTCAGTGTGAGCCTATGAATCTATGATGTGTTACTTCTCCTGCCTGCTGATCTTCCATCGGCAGCAATGCGGTGGGAGAAGGAAGAACAGTTTCCTAATAAATCAGGGGATTAGCTGCGCGGCAGTTTGACCTGTCGTGAACCGGTGCCATCGAGCCTTACTCTCACCTCACACTTGCGTCACTGCGAATCAGAAGGCAGGAGGGACGTGGGGCTCTGCCCCTGTGCTTAGACAAAGCACACTTTCCGACATCCCTGCCAAGGAAGGGCAGATTTGCGTTGCACCCACTCTGCTTTCACTGAACTGTTTCGTTCTGCTCTAAGCCTGGCTTTACTGCAGCAGCTTTACTACAACTCCACACATCTAAAGCTGCTGCTGGCCTTTTGAACTTCATTCCTGGGTTCCCACACCTGTGGTTTATGCACTTTAACTTCAGAAACCCCTGACTGAAGAAACCCAGAGCGGGACACACGTGTCCCCTCGCCCGGGGGAGCCTCTGCCCAGCGGGCTGCAGGGGCAGCCCAGCATCCCTCCAGCCGGGCAGCCCCATGTGTTTGCCTGCACGGTGACACCATGCTGTTTCCTTGCACAGGGAAGGTAACCCACTCCCCACTTTGCTTCCAAAGAAGTGACGTGACCGGGAGCACATCCCTGCAGCCGTCCGGGTGTCAGGGAAGGGCTGGAAGCATCACACATCCACTAGGTACAAGTGTCAGTCTGGGTTCCCCTCCAACTCCTGCCCCACGGCTGGCACCGCTCGTGCATGCCGCATCCCTCCAGCCCTGCAGACGAGCTGCAGACCTCGCAGGGCCGTGCCCGGTGCCAGCCGGGGCAGGGGCAGCAGCCAAGGGCTCAGCTAGTGTTCACCAGGCACCGCAAACCCCCATCGGCTCTGCTGGTGCCGAAACCCCAGCACACCGATGCTCTCGCTGCAGAGACCTGTAGGTGTGCGTGCTTTGCACTCCATTCTCTGATGTCACAGGGAGACATAAAACCTACGAGAAGCAGGAAAAGAGGCAGAGGCAGTGAAGGCTCCTCAGAGCTGGTAGCACAACCAGG